CATGTGGAAAATCTGATTTCAACATATAGGGGAAGGACATTGAAAAATAGAACATTCGTAACTGTCGCTCTCTAATTAAGGAACTAACTCACCCAACAGGATATTTGCGACTTTTGCTACTACTACTACTAACAATGATAATAACTATATTAATAGTTATTAACTATTATTATATTTTATTAGTTTTTTATTGACATTGGCTCTTAAAAGTATTAAGAATATCAAAAATGTGTTTGTTTAGTACTGTATTCTTTAAAAAGGAAAGCTCATGTATATATGGGTTTATTACACAGAAATATATATTTTACACTTTTTAAATTCTTATGATTGTGACTTAAGTCCTGTTTACTGATTGTATATAAATAATATTCTGCAATGTGAGATCAATGAAGTTCAATTATAAAAAAAAAAAACAGTTCTGTGGGAGTTAGTTCAAAACCCACTCCCACAGACTGCCACTCTGTGTCTCTGAGCAAGACGCTTAACCCCTGATTGCTCCCCAGGCGCTCCATGATGGCAGCCCACTGCTCCCGAAGGGGATGGGTTAAATGCAGAGGTAAATTTCTCAAATGTGAGATCAATAAAGTTCAAGTTTTTTTTTATTATTATTTTATTTAATATTGTTATGCTAACACCCTCCATATACAGAGTACCGTATTTTCACGACTATAAGGCGGCCTTAAACGTCTTTTTTTCCCCTCAAAATGTGCGGTGCGCTCTTTGGTGCGGTGCGCCCTATGTGTGTTGTAACTGCGACTTTTGAGACCACCTCATTGAGGAGATGATGAAAGAGTGGCTGAATGTAAGGAGACCAGGTGTTTTTTTTCCACTCATCACCATCGCTGTTAATATGTAACTCCATGCGTGCCCATCTCACAGCTGATGTGAAAAACATGGGGAAACAAATTAACGCTGTGCTCGCTGTTCAACCGCTCGACATCGGTGTGAACCGGACCCAGCAGGTGCAGCAGAAGCAGCGAGTTTACATGCAAAGTCAATGGTTGACGCGCGTATAGGTGCAGCAAAAGGTCCCGCAGCGCGTTTTGAACAGCAGGCGCAGCGCCTCGGGAGCGTTTAAGTATCTGACGCACCGCCAACGCGCTGCTGCTCGAGATGGAAAAATTAAAGTTTTGCTGCTGGACGCGCCGCATCAACCAATCAGAGAAGCTGATCTGGGAGCTGACAGCGAGACAGACAGCGCTCTGATGACATATGATATTAAATGAAAAAGGCTGGATGGATGAGGAGATGATGAAAGGCAGGTGTATGTGAGGAGACCAGGTGCTTTTTTCCACGCATCACCATCGCTGCGTGCCCATCTCACAGCCGATGTGAAAAAAAAAAGGTGAATCAAATGAACGCTGTGCTTGCTGTTATCCCGGGGGTCTGACAAAGGAACTTCAACCGCTCGACATCAGTGTGAAGCGGCCGTTCAAAGTAAGGCTGCGAGCGGTGTGGGAGCGATGGATGACAGACGGAGACCACAGTTTCAGGATAAGTGGAAGGCAGCGCCGGGCAAGTTACGCCACCGTTTGAGGATGGATTGTTGATGCTTGGACTAACGTGTCTGCTGGCTCTGTTGTTCAAGCTTTCGCAAAAGCAGGCATTATTTCTGAGGAGCCGCGCTGCACGGAAAGTGACTCTGACAGCGAAGAAGGGGAAATTGGCATGTCTGATTTAGCGCAGCTGTTTAATTCAGAAACAGAGGATGATGGGTTTGATGAATACTTTGTAATAAATACATGAATAAAGCACAATCATACTCAGTTTTGCCCCCGCTCTATTTTTCTACCTGAAAACTTAATTCAACAGCAGCCTCTGGGCCGGGTCTCCTCCTCTTCACCGCGGCGGCTGGCAGGTGTTTTTTCATCTAAATAATCTAAATCTTGCAGCTATATTTGCTGTGATCAGTGGGAATAAAGTAGTTTTAATATGTTTTTAAGTGAGAAAGGCCACCTGATTATCTATTTCTGTCGGAGGCGCTCAGACCCCCACATACCAGCGGTGCGCCGACAGTAGAAATCCGTTCAACAGCAGCCTCACTGCGGCGGCTGGCAGGTGTTTTTCATCTAAATAATTTAAACTGCAGGCACCAGGATACCGGCAATAAAAGCGAACATATTCCGTCGGCAGGTTTCAGGATTTTAAGTTAATTTAGGAGTAATCACAGCGCTGTGTCAACTGCGATGTGTCTGTCTCATGGCCAGCTCGCAGGTTTGATTAATACTTTGTAATAAATACATGAATAAAGCACAGTCATACTCAGTTTTGAGCCCGCTGTATTTTTAAATACGCAGTAGAGCTATTTAAAGGTAGTAGAGGACATGTACCTGTATATAAAAAACGCGCCCTATAGTCCGGTGCGCCTTATGTGTGTGTTAAATACAAAAATGGCACACATAACTGAGACTGCGCCTTTTAGTATGGTGCGCCTTATGGTCGTGAAAATACGGTAAATTACAAATAGTAATTGAAAGGAGTGTACTGTACTTCAGTTAAGTTCGTAGATGTTGAGATACATCAACAACAAACCATTTTTTCTTCTTTAAAATATCAGCTTTGATGCCAAGCATAAATCAAATTGTCAGATGTTTTTGAAAACGTATACATAGTATATTTTGCATAATTCAGTATTTTCCTAAATATTTATTATTACATTTGAGACTATAAAAAATATAAACTATTTTCCTACTATATTTGAGGAAAATAGTTTGCAGGGGACCTTTCCAAGGTGTACCTTTTGCCCATAGACTGATGAAGATGGATGGATGGATGGATGGATGGATGGATGGATGGATGGATGGATGGATGGATGGATGGATGGATGGATGGATAATATACTTCTACACTGTTTACATTCTGATCACTGCTGCACTTTACAAATTGAAATGTTAATTTCACTGTTCTGAGATGCTCATGCACTGTTTAAAGTTGTAAACATCAACTTTTGGTTTTGTATACACTCTGTGTGTATATAATGACACTAAAGCTTGCCTAAGTCTAAGTCTAGGTAAGCCAACCGTTCGAAAGTTAAAGAATGTATAAAAAAATTCTCATTCTAAAATTGCTCTTATATAAGGCGTACATTTTATAAAATTCTCGGGTCTCAGATTTCGTATAAAAAGTTATAAAGGCCTAAAGAAAAAACTGTGTAGGTCTTAGGGATAACAGTGGAGCTCTTTTTTTTCTCCAGTCCTTGAAATATTGACCATCCAAGCAGATATTTGAGCTTAATGAAACATATGCAGGTCCAGCAGAGTCCGAAACAGCTTCTTCTCCACCGCCATCGGACCGCTGAACTGTTGAGAAAACTCTAAATCATGTGACATTCTGCATCACGCTGACAACACCAAATCTAAACACTGCATTTTTGCACCATATATATTCAATGCTCTGAACTCCCTCTGAACGTTTTTTCCATCGTTTTTTTCTCCCACATTGTTTACATTTGACCACTGCTGCTCTTTAAGAAATGGAAATGTCATGAGAGCTGTACAAAATGAAATTTCGTTTTGTTTACACTCAGTGTATACAAAATGACAATGAAAGTTGTCTAAGTCATATATCTCCCCTGAAAACATCCAACATCCCTATATTTTACATGATTCATTGTGGGTCAAAGAGGTCAGCAGTTATGACAAATGTTGTGCTTCATCATTTATAATTATACCTTCTATGATCCAAAATAAACTTTGAAGATATTTTCAGGGATGTTACAGCTTAGATGATTTGGAGAGTCCAGCTATTATACTTGAGTAAGAATCCTAATACTGAGTGTGACTGCTTCACTAACTGTTCAGGTACGTAGCAGTTAGTGAGGAAGCAATAGTCTTTATGAATGTGTATATTGAGATACAGTAAGGAATTTCATTAAGTTCAGTATAAATGAACATGTAGGAGCCATTTTCTTTTGTTAATAATTAAAAATATTTTTTGTTTTTGTGCATAATCTAGCTAAGTTTATTTTACTTTATTGTTTGATATCTGTTATGAGATTATGTTTTTTGGTTATTTAGTCGTGTTCCTTTGTTTATGGTTTGTTATGATTAATTTAGGTGAATTATTTTTTATAAATAGGCAGTCAATGGTAGGACCAGCAGGCATCTGGGTGGGCTTATGGTTTTGTTTTTTTTTACCAGCGCAAGAGGAACATGGAGGAAAGTTTGTCTTTTTTGTTTGCTTGCCTGAGGAAAAAAAAAACTGAAAAAACTAAAGGAGGTTACTTGGAACATTTTCTTTTGCCTGCGTAAAATTAGTCCATGGTGCATCTGTGGCCTTTGTGGATTTTAACTTTTTTGTGTCACCAAAGCTGGGCCACAGCAAAGCATTATACCTCCCTTTGGTGGCAATCATTTACTAATAGATTAGTAAACATTTAGAAAATACGAAATATAATCAGCACAAAGCTCTTAAACATGTCAATAAAATGGTCATAAAAATGTGAAGATTTAGACTTCTCACAGATAAAGATTAGATTTATTCAACTTAAAGCACAGTTTTTGCACTTCATATTGTATACAAAGCTATAATAAATGTACATTTCTGATTTCATTTAGAATTTATATATCACCCTTTGAAAATGAAATATTAACTTAGTAGACCCCACAAGTCAGCATTCAAGAAAACTAAAATGCAAGTAGCTACATATTGAATTGCACACTTTCAGAAAGTTACATCTAAAAGAAAAAGAAAAAAATGCTGCAACCAGCCTTCACAACTTCCTGTAACAGCTTAACATTTGGAATTGTTTAAAGTGCAAATAAGGTTAAAGCTTCATCATTTCAAAAAATTACTTTTTATATGATAAATGATCTGTGCCGGAGCTGTTTTAGGCTCCGATTTCTCCCATTCACAGCTGATGTGAGGCAGTGCAAATGAATCAAGATCTTCTCTAAAATATTCATCATTTACTTACATTTTTGTTTAACATACACTTCATATTCATATAAATAATATTAAAACGTGAACATATGTAAGGACTCAGTTGATGACTTTTTTTCTCTTGTTTAATGCTCTTTAATAAAATGTGATTTTAAAGCCCTGTTGATCGTCTTTAAACAGAAATAATTGTGAAATGGAAAGGAGAGACAGAGCATAGCAATCAGCTGATGCTTTTCATAAGTTTGTACTTCTATAATAACAGATTAACTCCCATCAAGATACATATACAGACACTGATGACTGCAGGTATGCTCCTTAACTCAGAGAAGCAGACTGAGAGCAAGCAGAGATAGCAAGGAAGTAATTAACTCTATGTGAAGATGGGGACCTCTAGTGGCGAAAGAAGGGACATTCAGCGTGCCGTTCAGCATCAGGCAGGAGGTGGTGGTGGCAGTGCAGCACTCCAGGTGACATGAGGTGGTTGAAGATCCCCTACAGGCAGTATGAACAGTGCAATTGCTGCACCCTGCTTCCCAAACAACATCGGAGCCAGAGTACTTCTTTTTCAACTGAGGAAAGACAATTTAAAAGAAATTGAATTAAAACAAGGATATATTTGTTGTATATAAATAATTGTTTTATCAGATTTATTTGTAAATAATTTGTTACGGTTGAAGTGCTGCATACTTTAAGTCTGGATACACTGGCAATTTACAGTATGTAAGAATGCATTAATAACATTTATTTTCAACAAACAAAATAATAGTATATTAAACATATTACATAAATTGTAATCATGCATAACATATTCAAATCAATTAGATGCAAGTTTCAAAATGGGCTTTATACCCTTAGTCCTTTTTTTGTTTTGTGACATATATTAAATTAATTTTATATATGTGAAAACAGTGTAGACGAACCATAGATACATCCACAAAAACACATGCAACTATACACATACAAGTACATAGTCTTTCCCTGCCCTCCTCTATAAATACGGTACTCAAAAGTATGTTTTTATACCTTTTTTCAAATATATTTAAGTTTAAGCATTATGCTTTATGTCTATAGTCTTTTAATTCCACAGGCACTCCACAGCTAGACACACACACATACTATATGCTGCATATCATTTTACTTACTATCATTTTAAATATGAAAATGTCTTAAATGATCTTTTTCAGTTTAATTTTTTTATCTTGATTAATATTATCTTTGTAGTTTCATAGTTAACCATATTAAGAAATATCAAAGTATGAGAATATAAAATTAATACTTTTGTGTGATCTTTAAATCCTACTTTGTAAACTATTCTTATCGCTTTATTGTAATAGTGTAATATATAATATAATAATGTTTTACTTAAACGGCAGTGCAATTGAAGGCAGCACTTTCGTCAGTCATCACGTGACAATTTCTTAATAACTTCCACCTTATCGGCAATCCAATTAAAGATGTATAACAGGTCTTATTTTATCTGCATATTTTACTGCTTAAGCATTGCAGCAACCATTAAAGTTAAAGTTTAATGCATTCGCATAGTCAACTGAATGGCCAAAAAACCCAGCTATCAAAAAAAAAAAACCTTCATACGTCATACCTCACAGTGTGGCTCCATGGAGGAACAGGTTTCAGGCATTCCATTTTTGAAAATTTGGTAACAATTTTCACCATTACACATACCCTTCTGACATTTGTTACCCTGAAAAAAACAAAAAAAAAACAAGAAAAAGAATGAAAATGCAAGAAAATTTAAGTCATGGAACCTTTTTTGAACTTCACCCCATAACACAGATAATAGCCTAACATATATAAATAATTAGGGACAAAAAAAACAAAACAAAAAACGCTAATGACATTTCCAAATGGAGGTCTTGGTCTTTACATTGTTTGCGGTTGTTGAGGTTGTTGTTGTCGGGGAGGCTGTTGTGGTGGTTGCAGCCACTGAAATCATGCAAGATAAGCATACACAATATAAGATGGTAACATCATATAATACATACAATATAACATGGTAACAGAACAGAAACAAAAATGCCTTACAATAAATACAAGTAAGATAATGTAAATTATGTGAATGCATCTTCTGTTTTTTTACCTGTGGTTGTCATCATCATGGATGCAAAATTGCCACTAAGGCAGCCAGTGGAGTTACAGCAGTTCACAGCACAGGTGGTCTGAGTGGTGTTGCTGCAACTTTCAGCACAAGAAGCACTGCAGCTCACATTGTACCAAATGTCCATTGATCTCAACAGCTGATCCAGTGAAAAATTATACAAATATGATTGTTTTTCATTATCTTTTCATTCTCTTTTTTTTTTTTTTTTTTTTTTTTTTTTTTTTTACAAAGAAGTATATAGGGCCTCATTTGGTTCGTTACCTGACATGATTCTCCAGAAGCACAAGCAGAGGCATTCTGACTGTTGTACATGGAGTAGCAGTCGGAGTAGTTGCAGGAGAAGGAAGGGCAATATATCTGTGTTAGAATACAATGAGGGGCACATGATTAGGATAAAAAAGGAACAAACAAAAACAGGTGACATTGTTATTTTTTTAGAAGATTGACTTGCCATATCCATTGAAGAATTTGATGTGGAGTTTTTTGCAGTCATTCCGTCTAAAACAGAGAAATTATGTCATATTTGGGAAGACATTTGGAAACATACTATTAAGATTCCCCCCCAAATCCCGCAATTTTATCCTCTTTAACAAATCCTAAAGAGAATTGGCAGGAAATGTAATTTTTTTCTAGTTTTTCCAGTTCCAAGAAGAAATGCTTTCATCAGAAATCTGTGGCTGATAACCAACATAGAGTTTGAAAAGCTTTGAGGTGTAGCAAACATTTCAGCTAATTCTGATTTATCTTTAAAAACTAAACTTTTAAACTCGTTGGGTCTATATGTCTTCCAGTTAGTGGCTATTACATATTTAATTTAAGAGCCAAGCTAAAGTCCCACCATGCATATGTGTTGCCAGTCACTAAAACTACTGTCGTAGTTGCATCGTTAGCATTACTAACCACACATATAAATTCTGAGTCTTGGGTAAAAGGCCACTAAATACTCCAGATTAACTAGACATTATCTTGATTTTTTTTCTTGACACTCTTTCCAGGCCATGTTTTGTCCACTGACATGCCCACACAATTGTTAGACAAAGGTTTGAAGTGGGTGTGGCCACTCATTGCAATGTTACCTGCTTTAGGAGGTATCATTGAGACTGCAAAAGTGTAACAATGCATCCCTCTCATGAAAGGATAAACTTTATGCAAAAGAACAAGAAAACTTAAGATATTGATTATAATTTTGGGAAGACTAGGAGTCCAATATTTCTGTTTTCAACCTTTCCAGAGAAACGTTGTCATAGATTATAGTCAGTGTTGTAATGAATCTAGAATCAGTGCAGGAAACTTAATCCAAGTGTGTGTAGCTCATATTTTCTTCTGCCTAATACTAAGGTGGTTCTACTGCTAAGAAAAAAAAGCATTGAAAATTCCACCAAATATAATAAAAAGTTGATTAATGTCAAACTCTGTTTTAGCATCATCAGCAGCTTACAGCTAGTCACTCTGTTATATAGTTAGAATACCTTTTTATACTGTCCAAGAGGACATATAAACATATTAAAAGTTGTGAGGCTTCTTTAGTATATTATTTTTTTCATTAAATGCAACCACACTATCTATTTATATGCTAATATTCTTGCAACATTGGACAACAGCTAAGGACCATCTTTGCCTTACTGTTAAAAAAGACTTTCGAACACCGATACAGACTGTCAAGCTTAACTCTCATACCTGATGTTTAATAATAAAACCTTATACTGTTGCTCCAATGCTATGTTCTATGTGGTAAAATATTTAGGCCTTTTGGAATCTTATAAAGTGGGTTCACGGTGAGTTTCCTGCGCAAAGTCTTGCTCTATTTTGTAACAGCCTTGCCAAACAACTGACTGACAATCATATGACATACTGTGGACCTTTTGAGGCCTTCTTACAGCTGTCGTGCTTCCTCTGACGTCTTTTCTTTTTACAAAAAGATTATGGTTAAAATTATGCAAAGTTCTACTTGGAAATTGTTTACTGTTAAAAAGAAAGTGGGCTAATGAACTTAATATGAGTTTACTTATAAGATGAGGAAGGTTGGTGCCCTGCTTGTCTACCTGTATTTAGCCTAGCCTACAAAACCTCTGCATTTGGGAGCAGGTGGATACTGTGCCTTGTAAGGTGCTTGAGACAGAGAGGGTGCTGTGCAATGCTGAGCCTCCGGAGGTGGTTGGAGGGGAGTGGGTGCTGAATGGTGAGGAGCCTCCGGAGGTGGGTGAGGCAGAGTGAGTGCTGGATGGAGCCAAGGTGGGTGAGGCAGAGTGGGTGCTGGATGAAGCCAGGGTGGGTGAGGCAGAGAGAGTGCTGACTGATGTTTGGCCTTTAGAGCTTAAGGTAGTTGTGGGAGACGGGGCTGCAGTGGACGTTGCAGTACCTCCATAAGTGATGGACATGATGCTCTGAGTAGGGTTGACTGTTGAACTGCCAGAAACCATAGTACTGGACTGGGTGGAGGTGTCTTTTGCTGTTTTGGACACAGTGGAAGAAGAGATTTGGGGATTTGCTTCGGTTGTGGTTTGTTCCATGGTTGAAACTTGGAGCATAGTGGTGGTAGAGGCTTCTGACACTGTGACTGAATCAGTGGCAGAAGAAGTGGTGCTCATTTCTGTTGTGACCCCAGACACAAATGCTGGAAGCAGCAGGAGTCCTGATAGGAACAGGCATAAAATACCTGCACAAAAAAAAAAAAAAAAAAAAAAAAAAAAACATTGTGGAAGAGAAAAACAAAGTTGGGAAAGTGTGTTAGGGTCAAAAGAAGATTGAAACTAGCTCAGCCAGTAGTTTTTATGTAAAAAAAATAGCATGTTTCCTACAACAATGGATACCCAAGGTTTAATGAAATTTTATATTAAACTTTTTGCAAAGCTTTTACGATCCAAAGGTGTACTAGTTGCCTCCCCACTGTTGAAGTAAGCCTTAAGGGTCTGAGCACACCAATGTGGTAAAAATAAATTGTTTTACAATTCTTAACAAGTGATTACCATTGACTTTATTAAATGCTAATAAAAAGCTTTCATGCACTTCTAAAAAGGCTTTAGGTGTAATAATAGCCCTCCTCTTCATCAGAGTTTAATATTTAAGCAGCTGCTGACATGTAGAATATCTATTTGTCGGGTATTTTTCTGACCTCTGGTTTAAGTTTCCCATTTGGCCTTTTTCTAAAATATCTTATGGACAATTTTATAAGTTACATTTAACAAAGGTACTCATATTTATACTCCCTGTTGGATGAGTTTTAATAATTGATATTAATCTGATAAATAATGCAGTAATAACTTGGAAAGGATTACCTGTTTATGTCCCCATTTTTCTACAGTAAAATGCTGGTGAAACAAACATATGCAGGTTTTTTTTTTACTTTAGTAGATAAAATCACACTAAATTATGTCTAAAATGATATATAATAAAGCTCTTAATGTTAACAGAATGAGTATGGCATATAGGTCTGAAAAGCCGTTTTTTTATTTTCATCGTGACTCCTTGACCATGAGATATTTTTAGTAGGTAGGCGTCATAAAGTATATTTCTTTCTATTTACTTGTCATGATTATGATGATATTAAAAATTTCAGATTGATCCAGATTAAACAGTTGCAGGAACGGTTTTTCCATGAGGACAAGATACGCTATGCGGCCAAATGCACTAGCCATCATGCAAACGTGAATAAAACTTAGTAAGAAGTATGATGAATGTAAGTTTTACTGCGTGGAAATGAAAAGAGATGATAGGTGAATGTAACATGGTCAAATGAAATGTTTTAAGGAGAAGTGGAGCTGCATGGTACTTTAAAAATGTCACATCATCCGTACAGTAGGGAGTTAGGGGCATCATGATGTGAGATATTTTTCAGGCTATGGTACAATATTTATTTACCCGTGTCATCTCACTTTTTCTTTTACCCATAATTAAATCAACCAATTTACTTCCTTCCCCCTCTCTGATTCTTTAAGGAATTTATTTAAATTTCTTAGACTTTCTCTCCCTTTTTAGGAGAAGGCAATAGGAATACCTTTCTGTACTTTTTAAGTATTCAGAAAACCTATGGATTGAATTTACAAACAAATGCATTGGACATGAATGAGTGATTTTAGACGGAAGAATGGAGCATATTTACCGAAGGTCTCACATAAACAGGAATAGACTCATACCTGTGTCCTTCATAAAACAGACTGGAGACATAATGCGACTGGATGAAGAAGAGACAGCTCTGGGCCCAACCTATAAAACATATATATATCAAATTGAACTTCTATAGTAAAACCAGTCATTAGTTATTGCTGTTAAAATGTCAACGAAAGTCACATGACAAATGAGAATGTCTGTCAGTGGAATTATCTAAACAATAATCAGCGCAATAAGGTGATGACAAAAGGTTTGTGTGACAGGTGAGAGTGTGGCTTCAATCCAGACTGTTTACCGATTGTAAATCTTTCTGAATAACAGCCCTTCTCATTCATTGTAAGCCACCTGGTCTGTTCTTTTGATGTGCAACCGTCTCTGTTAACAATCCTCTTTTTATTCTGAAGTAAACAATCTCATAATTGTTAGCATAATAAATTTCTAAACATGATCTTTAAATAATTCACCTCACTAATATTTTATAAGATTAGGGTTAAAATGAAGTATATTGATGATGATCTTTTAAAAAAAATCTGAAAACAATACATGTTCAAACCATTGTACGTCTTCTATGTTGTTAATTGCACGTCTGCCCCCTCCATTAAGAAACTTCTGCAAAAATTAGTGCAGCATTGGGTCATGCAATTATACCTTAAGTGTCTCAGTTTGGTTTGGTTTATCATTGAGCGCAATTAAAATGTGTTTGTTCCTTGATCAATCCCTATAGGACTGCTTCTATATGGCTTGTTTTGTTCCTTTCTCCCCTGGATCCCAGCTTGAGCTCCTGTGGGTGCTACACCCTGGAAACCGATGACAACATTGGTCACTTCAGCTTCCACCTCAACAAGGAATCCCAAAACATTGTGTTTGAAAGGAAGTTCAAGTTTAAATGTCTTAAACTGTTGTGAAACTCGTCATTTTACAACAAAAATTGATAATATATTTAAAATTCTTGGCACACTTAATTAAATTTAAAAAATAAAGTAAGAAGTTAATATATCTCTAAAATGTTGATGTAACATTTGCTTAGAAAATTATACAAGAAAGTCAAATTTTATTGTGGTGAAAGTTACAACATCAGTGAGTCTACAGTTGCTTAACTCAGAGTAAAATGAACAAGACCCAACTCTGACACTTGAACCTTTTTACATTTTATAACTTTGGAAATCTCATCATTGACATCAGCTAGTTTTGAAAGCTAGTTTTAAACACATCTCACACATCTGTGAAGCAGAAGCTTGTATAAGATATTTCACAGGTAAAGAAACATGATTGGTACAAAGGTATTTACACATATTAATCATGTTATTTCTGAACCGTTTACAAAAATATAGATAAATAACAGATGCTTGCCAAATCATCCTTTTTCCTGTTACATGATCTCGCCACTTTCCCGAAATTCACTTTGTTGTTTTCTTTTGGCCTAACCATCATTATTTAACTAGAACAAAATATACTTTAACATTCTATAGACAACAATGAATAAAATCCACTTACCTGTGGTTTAAAAATCATGCTTTTATCTCAACATAAGTCGAAGAAAATGAGCTTTCTCTCTCTGGAGTGCCCTGTTTCTCTCAGTTACCTCCTCCTCCGCCCATTTGAATAGCGTAACAAGTGGAAACTCTCACCTGCACCATGTCAGAGGAGGGGACTGGAAGCCTGCAGCTCTTGCTGGGAGGGTCTTAAGATGATGCTGCAATGAGCACTGGTAGGGGGGGATTTCCAAAGTACTTAAAAATATAGATAATTTTCTTTTAACTATAGTTCAGATTATGACCCTAATCTGGTTAATATTAGAGCTGACTTTAAATGCCTCATTTAAACACTTCTTTAGAGCAGATGCAAAAAGAAAACCCTTTACAAAGCAGGAATTGCTCTCTATCTCTCATCAAAATTTCCAACTACTTTTTCAAGAAAAGGCATCATAAAAGAAGATAGCATAACAGTCGTTTACAGTGTTAGGTTGCTATGATTACCGTACTCTGACGCCCTGTAGCTAGCAATTAAAGTTTTACAAAAATAACTCAGTGGATTAGGTCTTTGCAAGTCCATGAGAGTTCAGGTGAGATTTCAGAGCCCTGCGGCGTGATTGTATAGGGAGTCTACTGGTTTCTGTCGAACACAATGTGAAATTAGACCCCTCTCTCCCTGTGAACCATAAAGCCCCTGTTCACAACAAATACCTCTTTGTGGCCTAAAGAACATAGAATTCTTGGGCACAACACTAGAAGAACTTGTCTGGTTCAGATGACAGAAGTGCTTCCTCCTTTCATCAAAACTTTGCGATACACGATAGAGAAGTTATTCCATAAAAAGAGCAAAGGGTTGACGAATTATTCCAGAAATTTTAATTTAATTTTGGAACTTGGTCTGAATTCTAATCATAGTTTTATTTTTAGGCTTCTGTAACACACATATAAAAAATATGCAGTCCTTGTAAGAAGTGTAAAATCAATTTGAGGGTTTCAGGAGTTCTTTTAACAGGAGTTTTGCAAATTTTAATGATCATACAAAAATATTTAATTGAATTTGAAAATCTAGAACTGAGAGAAAATGTTTTTTTAATTTGTGATTTATCTTGAACCCATACAGGTCTAATTTCAGCCAAGAAGGTGCTAACGTAACAGTCTAAAAATAGTAATAAAGCAACATTTATATGGCCAAACTTGTTTTATAACAGCAGAAACTTAATGATTGTCTGATTTTTGACAGTGTAGGATTTTCCCTTTCATAAAAAGTGGAATTATGGGATCATTTGTGCATTGGTATATTTGTGAAACTTAAGATTTAAAACTGTCCAATTAAAATAAACCTAAAAAGAATTTATTAAACTTTATGTGCTATGATATAATAGAAGCATCACATGAATGCCATTTAGGCTACGGTATTTTCTATACAAACATTTCAGGCTATAAAACATTTTTGCAGTAAATTATGAACTAGGTGCACAAAATAACATTACAAAAATCCTCTTTAGTCAGGCATTTCTTCAAAATATTTTTAACAATGCAGTTGGATCATTAGGAGCTGCACTTATCTAAAGAGTTAAATTGAAATAAAGCAGCACTACTTAACTAAATTAACAAAGACTCTGCTTGAGAAGTTTTTTTATTCTCTTCTTTATCTAGAGAACAGGGAAGTATTAACATTTAATTATCTCTGATTATGTTTATCCAGGGGTTTTTACAAGCTTCCTGGAAATATTAGAGAAAAACAGCTGTTTATGTTACCCACAAAACATTCAAATTGCCTCTTAAGAGTTTTAGTTCCTGCATTAATACAGAGCTGTTTACAATAAAGGAAACCAGGGAGCATTGTGTTAACTTGCTCAGAAGTGTTGGACTAACAAAGACCTCTAAAAGAACTTGTTTATTATGCTTGTAAGGTACAAAAAAGCCCAGGAAAAATAAAACCTTTTTTACAGTGGACCACTTATTATCAGTTGTAATAAAGCTGGAAAAACTCGGAACAACAGTTGGGTGTGGCAGGGATCTGTTTTAAAGTTTGACATAAACACTTTAACAGTATACACACTGAAGAAAATAAAGCAACCACTTTTGGCATTCATTTAATCATATTTACTTACTTATGTCCTACCCTGCTGACATGAACCAGTTGTGTTAAAGTAACTAAATATAATTAAGCAAATGCCAAAAACGTTTGCATCTTTTTCCGGTTCACAATGTTTTTTTACATAGTTTTTTGCTTGCACCTTTTACTCTTTAGAACTGCATTCATTGTTTGTGTTTGAGCAATACTTTAACAGCTCTAGCCTACAATTTTGCTCCATATTAATATGATTACAACTGCAGCAGATTTGTGTGCTGCACACATGATATAAATCTCTCCTTTCTTTTTTCCAGATCTTACATATTTATTGATTTTTGAATCAAAGCAATTATACAACTATACAACAGCAATAACTATCAGTTTTAACAATGTGAGATTATACCTTATTTTTAACATCTCAATGGGACATTTTACGATTTCAGCATCATAATTGTGGTCTCAGCATCACCACATAAACCAACACAAGAGGCCTCCTTGGGTGGGAGGTATAACTATCATAATCCAAAAGCCTAAGATGAAGAATTTGTTTATCTGAGTAGATCTTCCACTGAGTCCCAGGGTTGGCTAAAAGAGGATTTTTGAAGTCTTAATAAGTATGCTATCTTTTCAATTTGGTGTAATTCCTTTATTATTTGGACCCATGATGTGTAAGAAGGCAACTCTAATTGCTTCCATTTAATTGTAATGCATTTCAGGACTGCTGTAAGAAGAGCATTTAAAAGACGTTATTTGGCCTGTCCTTGTCATCCACCTGGAAAGATACAGAGTAATGTGAAGGTTACATCCTTTGAGATTACCTAAAACAGGCATCCCCAAACTCGGTCCTCGAGGGCCGCTGTCCTGCAGGTTTTAGAGGCTTCCTTGCTCCAGCACAGCTGATTTTAATTGAAAGCTGATTAACCGGCTTTTGCTCAACTGCAATCATTATAATCGGCTGTGCTAAAGCAGGGAAACCTCTAAAACCTGCAGGACAGCGGGCCTAGAGGACCGAGTTTGGGGATGCCTGTCCTAAAAGATCTGGTTTATAGACTTGTACATGTCATCCTAAAAAGTTTTGTCAAATCTCTAATTTCTATAACTTCACAAAGTTGTTCTGTTGGGTTATGATCTGGTAACCTATGCACTCTCTTACTGGTTAGGGGTACTAGAGCAGTGATTCTGAAATGGTGGTATGCATACCCCTAAAGGTACGCAAGTGCTTTGCTGGGGGTACATGAAAATATTTTACTTTTTAGGTAGTAAAATAGAATAGGGCTATGATCTGTTTTGCTTTCCAAGGACCCAATTGAAAAATTAAACAAACTTTTATGAACCAAAAAGTAAGTTTTCCTATAAGTTTGAGTTCACCTTCAGCTGTGACACACATCCGAACCAAGCAGAGGAACAGACTGGATGTATAGAACAGCCTGGAATCAGCTGTTTTTTTACAGCTTGGAGCTCATTAAAGCAGTTCAGGTGTTTTGATGAAAACAAAGTAAAACTAATTAAGTCAGTCTGTGTATAATTTTTGTTCTGTATTTTGTTCCCAATTTATCAAGTTTAAATGTGATTTTAAGGGAGTAACTGAGGAGCTCCAATTTTATAAATACAGGCTTAAAACATGATTTTATTTTGTATTCATTTCAATTCCAAATAACTTCCAGGGAACATATTTCTGTTTTTTTTTTATTTTAGATGGAAAGTTTGAGTTAAACAGTTTTTCTTTTATAATCAGTTATTGTATGTTTCATGTTTCATGTTAGGACAATCATCAATGTACACAAGTCAAAAATGGTTTGGAAACACTGCATTAGAGGATGTGCTAATTGCGGTTATGAAGGGATGGTCATGTTCTGGAACAAATGTTAGCATGGATCTGTTGTTTCATTCTATTCCTAAATCAAACATCTGAATGTTGGAGTTTAAACCCCCATCTGAACCAGTCACCGTTTTTTCCAATCTGCTTTTGTCTGATTTAATGGAAGCTAGTAGCAGCTGTCATCTCACCGTCTTGTTATTTGCTGAAGGCAGGAACACCTGCTGTGACATGTTGCTTTTGTTCATCTGATTAAAGGTTGCATGTGTGCTTAGAGATGGTATTTTAACTAGTAATTATTGAAGCTAATCATGCCATCATCTCTCCTTCTCTGCAGATGTCAAAGATCATGACCTCTGACATCAAAAATACCTTTTTTCCCCCCACATTACTGTGACCCTTTGAATTAACTTTCTCAGAGATTATAATTTCACAATGGGGAAAAATGTGTTTTCAAATTCCAGTAGATTCAACCTTTTTAAAATACCAACTGAAACACTAGGCCTTCTGACAGTCGAACATCCGTGCCACTTTAGTTCAGTTTAGGCAACTGGACGTGAAGTTTTCTAGAAGATATTTTGCCTCTCATCCAAGAGGCTTCTTAAGCTCTAACTAGTGGTGGGGAGCACTGAGATTAATATACTGTAGAAATTAATACAATATAGAGGCAAAACATCTTCTAGAAAACTTCACTTCCAGTTCCCTAGACTCAACTTTTCAAGTTTGACCATGACCTTGATGACTGGGAACCTACACAGATGTACAATTTAACACTTGCTTCCCCAATATGTATGATGTGATAGAACTCGAGAGAATTACCTTCACTAAATCCAGAGGTCTAAACCCATTGCAAAGCTGCCAGATTTCTAAACTCCTATAGTTCTTCTATGTTTCCTGCAGTCTATGACAAACACAAGAGGAATGGTTTGATTGTGCGAGATCAAGTACTTAATAAAGATGTTTTTAACTTTAAACTCTTTACTTGTTAATTCAACAGTGAAATTCACCTTAAATACGTTTGGTTTTACTGTTATCAACGCTACAGTGATTAACTTCCTTTCATGCCAAACGCACATGATATTTTTGTGTATCGCTCCGAGGCAGTTCCTGAGCTATTCTTATTATTGTTGTACACACAGTCTTTTTTTAAAATGTTTTTAAAGAAAATCAATCATCATAAAAAATTATTAATCATTATGCACATATAAAGTAATCGAGGAGAGCTATAAGGAATTTCTCTGAACATACTACCAGTAATTATTTCACATCATCATGTGATTGCCAGAA